ATCTGTTAAGCTGGTTAGGATTCTAGGAAGGCTTCAGGTAGAGATAAGATGAGCCGATTCTAATGAAGCCTGATTGTGATACGCGTGCGCCTAGTGAAAGAGGAGTATATTGGTTTTGAAGCTTGAAATTGGAAACTGCATGAGCTCGTTAGATCCATAAGCTGCTTAGATTTTTATGTCTAAGCGTTAATATCGATATCTGCTATAGTTATCGAGCCCTCTAGGGGCGTGGCAAGTCGAAAATAAAGTCTATCTTAGCCTTAGGCTTACTTTATACCCCGTCTTAAGATTAACCAACAATTATGTACACACGCCTACTGGAGGCGTGGCTAATGTATGTCTTGTAGCTGTCTAGACCTCCGCTTGAGACTTGACTCAACTGCCTCGTGGTCGTCCGAGCGAGTATTAAGCAGTCGGCGGCAACAGTCTCGCTTGGCTTTTCCTAAGCATTATTATTATATGACATATAGCACTTGTATTTTTATGATTTTTGGGCGCGTGAAGTTCGAAAACAAGTTCGGCATACAAAGTCGGCTTTGCAAAGTTCAGCACCCCTAAAAATAATACATGAACATATATCGCCATGTATGCTTGATGAGAAACTCGTTTAGGGTCGAAAAACGCGACAGAAACTTGAGCACGAAAACTTTTGGCAAGTCACAGCCCAACTAATGAGAGCTCAGCGTTAGCTAACTGGACCAGACATAGGCACATTTTTTGATTATCATCAATCACAGAGAACGAGAGTTATTAGTGCTAAGAGAGCTTCTGCTGCAGCTGTTGCCCCGGTTTAACTTTAGAGTTTGTCCTTGATCAGAACTTCTCTCGTAAACAGCTGCCCAAAGGGTAGAGTCGATGTGGAAGCAAACAAAGGCGAAGCAGTGGCAAGGGGCGGGGGCCAGCGGCGGAAGGGTTCGGCCTAAGCGTGCGCATGCGCTCGTCGTCTGCGTTGCGGCTTTGGCTTTTGTGTTGCCATGCGAAAAATTGCCATTTTTTGTTGTTGTTTTCTTCATTTTGCTTTTGCTCAATTTTCGCGTCTCCTTTTGATGGCTCTTCCCTTAATGATCTCTTTTGTTGGTCTCACTTCAGTTCAGTTTGTGTCTGGGGGGTTTTGTGTCTGCCTGCGTATGCCCCCCTCTCTCTCTCTCTCTCTCTCTCGCTGGCTCTGCGTCTTTGTGGGATTCATTCAACTTTGGTCACACGCACACACACACACACACACATGGGTCTGTGCGAACTTATGAATGATGCCAATGATCATTGCCGGTCGCGTCATGATCGCATTCGTTGTTGTTGATTGCTGCTGCTGCTGTTGCTGCTGCTGCTGTGTGTTTTTGTTGCCACAAATAGCAACACGCGCCGTTTGCATTGCGATGCATTTCCGTTTTGGCAACGCTGCCAAAGCTGCAGACGTGCCGCCAAATGGGCTAAAATGATGCAAAAGAAAAAACAGGGATGCCAAGGCGAAAGCCCACAGCGTGTGAGTGTATGAGTGTGTGCGTGTGTGTGTATCTCTATCTGCGGCCATTCAACGAACTCACATTGATATCATATTAAAAGTTATGACACATTTGAATGGCTGATTTTGCATTAATTTCGTATGCGAAATCTTTTCGATAACTTGCTAAGCCCAACGCAGAGAAAGAGCGAGAAAGAGCAACAGTGAGAGCGAGAGCGAGAAGGAGAACGAGCAATTGCACTAGAGTCCAATGAAGCAAGCATTATCATCGAAATATACAGAAATATACATACTTAAGTATACATAAATAAATACATACATACATACACACAAGCATACACACAGATACATACATAGTATGTATTTTTAGAGATACTATATAAATAGCTTTATTACTTACAAGAACTGCCTTAGGGCAACGAAGTAAGAGCTATGCTATTGGTATTGGCTTGGTCTTTTTATAGAGAGTTCGTGATATCATGAATTCGTCATACTAATTCATGATAATCAATATTAACACTGCTTTATGTGACTAATCAAACAAATTGTAAACAACACAAAAGAGAGTTAGAAGGAGAGAAAGAAACATGTTCGGAGAGAAAGAGAGCAAGCGACAAATAATGAGAGAGAAATAGTAAAAGAGACACTAAGAAAAAGAGCGAGAGAGAGAGGAAGAGGCTGAGATAGATAATGTGAGACTAAGAAAGAGAAAAGAGAGGGAAATAAAGAGACAAAAGAGAAGAAAAAAAGGAGCAGAAAGAGAGTGATAAAAAGAGAGACATAAGGAAAGACAGAGAAACAGAGAGATATACACAATGAGACGGAGAGATATATATAATTAGAGAGAAACATAATGAGAAAGGGAGAGAGAGAGAGATAGATAATGAGAGTGACTAAAAGAATGAGAATGAGAGAGCGAGAGAAAGCGAATGCTCGAGTGAGAGATAGAACTGAAGAGTAGTAAAAGAAGAGTAAATGAGAGAAAGGAAGAGTAAAAGTGAGAGACAGCGAGAGAGGGAGAGAGAGATAGAGAGAGTAAGAAACAGTGAGAGAGAGAGCGATGATAGAGATTCCCAAATGTATATATGAAATGATATTCTAAGCAGGCATAAACTATTCATTAAAAGAACACCACACGGACACACACACACACACCTAGACACACACACAGACACACACAGGGACAAATCTGAAGTTCACTTAATTTGATTCATTCTTAAATTGTAGATTTTTGTCTCAGAGGCAGAGTATTACGTGTGGTGTGTGCTCAGCTTGTGGGATTTAGCTGACTGTCAATATCTGTTGTTGTTATGTTTCTTCTTCTTGTTGTTTTTGTCGACGTCGTCGTCTTCATTGTTGTTGTTGTTGCTATTGAGTTTACCCACTACGCAATTCCATTCAGGCGCGATGCTAACCGATCCGACCCGACCCGACCCGATCCGAACCGATCGAATCGTATCGTATCGAATCGTTCGACGACGCGTCGTCGACATCGTCTTTTCTTTCATAAATCAAAGCGCATAACTGCCGGCCGGGGCTGGGGGCGGCGACGCTATAAAAAGTGGAGAGCGGCCAAACCTGGGCGGATTGGACAGCGGGGCAGGCGCAAGGTGTTGGGGTGCTTTTGTTTTGAATTTGAATTTGTTTGGATTTTTGGCTGTTTGGCAAAAATTACGCTACAATTTCAAGTATCTTTCACTGTATTGGCGCAACGGATGACGGGGTAGGCGTGGTGGGTGGGTTATAAGCACACACACACACACACACGCACACACACGTATGTCATAGTCACATGGAGCGGCGCTAGGCACGAGCTGGTACCTGTTTATTGTAGTCGCTTTTGGCTCTGCCTTTTTCTTGTATTTATTTTAATTTTTAATTTTCGGCTTTTTTTTTCTTTTTTTGTTTTATTTGGTCAATTTTTTCTTGTTTCTTTTTATTTTTTAAATATATATGTATTTGTTTATTTATAAATTTTGTGTAGCTACGTTTTTCGCGTTTGGTATTTATTTGTTTTTGTTTATTAGGCGTGGGCCTTGTGTGCCGTTATTTTCGCCTTTCTAGGCGCAAATTTCTCGAATTCCATGACAGTGAAAGCCAATGGGAGGCTGGATGTGTGCGGCCCCTCCCCAGTAATGAGCTGAAAATTTATGTACTTGTCAGAATTGTTGCCACCATCTGTGGCTGTGGCAACTTTGACTGAATCAACAAAGCATCAAAACTTATTTGCTTGAATATTTATAGATTTTCGATTTGAAATTTGGAAATTTCCCATTGGAAATGAGCAAATGTATGCAACGGTCGGTAGAAGGCGTGGCAGACACCAGAAATTTCCATTTTTACTCGAGCTAAAGACTCAAAATTTGTAGCGTATATTTCTGCATTTATTTGTTATCGATAACTCAGCCCATATAAATTTATATCGATCAAAATCGATAATTTAATATCGTTTTTAATCGACAAAGTCACAAGTGAAAGATTTCGAATTTACTAGATAAGTATCTGTGATGAATAGACAGATATTGAGTGATTTAAATTTTGGTAGCCATGCCCTGTTTTTTAAATAGTAGAGAGTTTGGTTTGGTTTTGGCAAACGAACACATTTGAAAGACATGCTCTGAAAAATTCATTACGAGAGACTATCTGGAACAACAGTTGCTCAACAATGAAGTTTCCATAGTAGACCCCATGAGCGCAGCCCCAAATAGAGAGAGAGAGAGAGAGAGAACGAGAACGAGAACGAGGTGCACGGTATAACCTAGTCGGGTGCTCCCTCAACTTTGCTCCTTTCTTTTGCGCATCAAATTTGTCATCAACTCCAAGTTTTGTACTGTAAGGAAGTCTAGTAAACTTTCTATATATAAATATATAAACATTTGTATGTAGTATCTTGACATATTAGACAAACTGAAAGACCCCAAGGGGAAACACTTTGCTAGCAATTCGATTTAAAAACATTCGAAGTCCAGTAGCCCGATAGATGTCAACTACTCACATACAAGTATGTATTTCTATGTATAATTATATATACATTAAACTAAAGAAATTATTATTATAACATTTTAAGAATTTGTCAATGTTCGTACATAGTCGATATGTGTTTAACCGTTACTAGCTAACAAATTTCCTGTACAAGCCACGCCGATTTTATCATATTCAAAATTCTATAAGTTTTTAATCCAAATCCGAAGTTTCTTAGATATACGCTCGAAGGAGTTAGCTATAAACAGAGAGAGAGACAGTGAGAGAGACAGTGAGAGAGACAGTGAGAGAGAGAGAGACAGCGAGACAGACAGCGAGAGAGACAGCGAGAGAGAGAGAGAGAGAGAGACAGCGAGAGAGACAGCGAGACAGACAGCGAGACAGACAGCGAGAGAGAGACAGCGAGAGAGCGAGCTAGGGAGAAAGAGAGAGAGAGAGAAATAGAGAGAGAGAGAGAGAGAGCGAGAGAGAGAGAGAGAGAGGGAGAGATAAAGAGGGAGAGGGAGAGAGAGACAGCGAAAAAGAGAGCGAAAAAGGGAGAGCGAGACCGAGAGACACAGAGAGAATGAGACAGAGAGAATTTGAGACAAATTGAGAGAAAGACAGAGAGAGAGAGAGGGATGGGGAGATAGTGGGATTGAGAGACAGATTAGGAGAGAGAGAAATTGAGGGAGAGAGAAATTTAGAGAGAGAGAACGAACAAGCAAGCGAGAGCGAACAAGAGAGCGAGACAGAGAGAAAGAAGCTAAGGAACGACAAAGCAAAACAGCAAAATACAAAAAGTGTAAGAAATGCCCAGTTGGACACGTTAGCTGTGTAGTCAGTTGGCCAACACGTGCACAAGCAACAACAACAACAACAACAACAGCAGTTGCAACTCGTTCAACGAGACATGCGCAACGGACAGCACTTATCAAGCTTTGTTGTTGTTGCTGCTGTCGTCGTCACTGGCGTCGATTCACATTGTGAATGATTCACAATTTGTCAGTGTCGTCATCGATAGCAGCGCGCAATTCAGCTCGATTTTAACTGGGTTTTTTTTGTTTTGTTTTTGCATTTCTTGTTTTGTTCTCTCTGTGCCTCTCTGTCTCTCGCGTTTAGTATTTGTTTGACTGCCCGCCTAAGAAAGGAAACGAGAGAAAAAAGTAAAACTAAGCCAAACACAAATTGTTTATATCGCGCCCGTCGCTAATCGCGGCGTTTAGTTTGATTTGCACTGCAAGTGCAGGCGGGCGAGTCGAGTCGAGTCAAGTCGAGTCAAGAGTCAAGTGTCGAAGTGTCGAAGTGTCGAGTTGTAAGCCCCGTAAAGCATTCGATCCATATTGTTAGGGCAATCAATGCAGAGCAACTCGCTTCGCATTCCAATACAGTTTTTGTCTCAGAATGCATGTCTATCTCGAAGATTTCCTGCATCTGCATTTGTTCAACATTTGTAAGTCGTTCGTATGGTGTGGTCACTGTACTCATATTGCTATACTCACTAACTAACTCCCCCTCTCTCTCTTTCACTCTTTGATAGATGACAATATGCAACGCTATAACAACCCCAACACCAACAACCAAAACAACAACAGCAACAGCAACAGCAACAGTAGCGGCAGCGGCAACAGCCACAGACGCTGCTCGCAAAAATATGCCAATGGCAACGTAACGACAGCAGCAGCAACAGCCGCAGGCACAGCCACAGCTGCCAATTATCAGCAGCAGCAATGCAGTAACAACAACAACAATAAAGCTGCACGCAAATCGCGCTACAACAACAACAAGCGGCAGGATGTACAAGGATCCAGCAGCTCCTACAACTTGCAGAAACGCGCCAATGCCGCCGGCGTTGCTGCCGTCGCCGCCGCTGCAGCCGCAGACACCGGCAACAATTCGTCCTGGCAACGTTACGTAACTTCTTCATGCATCGAAGGTAAGTCCAACGACAACAAGAATAACAACGACAAACAGACGCTGATTCATGAATATATTCGTTGCGCTGTTGCTTATAAAAATTCCGCGCAAATCGCACGCTCATTCACAATGATTCATCGGTCACAGTCGGCGTCGTTGTCTCAACGTCATCGCCAGATTTCTCCAAAGTAACTTAATCAGCTGCGAGCGCGTGTGTGTGTGTGTGTGTGTGTGTGTGTGCTCGTATCTTTAATCAAAATCCAACGCACTTAGAGCGCACTCACTTTAATTAGGGTCGACTTTCCCGTTGGAAATGTGATCGACCGATGCTAGCACAGCTCTGGCAACAACAGAGCCAAGAGAACAGGCCTCGCAGAGCTGGTCAAAGGATTGATCTCTTTGCAGCTTAAGGGGCCTCCCCATTCATGGCCATCTGGCAATTTGGCCGTGTACTCAATGGCAACGGCTGGGAAAATTACAGCTGGAAAAACCGCAAGACAATAGGAAAAACCGAAAAGCCAAAAGAAAAACAAAACAGAAATTGTAAAACGCAGTTTTTCAACCTCACTCAATCAGTTTCGTATTATTTATTCGCGCGCTTATCTATATCGTATATTGTGGCCAGCAGGCTGCTATCTAAGCAATAACATTGATTTTATGAAGGGCTCTTCAGGCCGAGCCCCGCCGCACCCCACCTGCAAGCAACCCACCCAGCGTTCGCGTTACGTTTAATTAAACTAGATTTCAATATTTAACTACAGAAAAGGTTTCTAATCTCTAACCGCATTCCGAGTGAGCGGAAGTTGCTTATTCTTCGCCAAGGATCTTTTTATAAACAATTGCACACACACGCGCTCCCACACATGCACACAATTTTGAGGTTAACTATGCGGGCCTCTGATTCGCAAACTATTTCCAGGCCGCGCAGCGGTATTCCAATTTGCAATTGAAATGTAGAATCATAAATAAGAAAATTGCAGGAAATCTTCGCTTAAGCTCAACCGCATCAACCTTAATGAAAGCCGTAGCCAACACATACACACATGCATGCATATACATAAATAAATAAATATTAAATATATATACATATGTATATATATATATCTTCTTCTTCTCTTCTTCTCTTGCTCGAATTTCGCTTTCACAGCCGAAAATCAATTAAAATTCAGACAAAAGTGAAAGAGCAAAAAATAGAACTTCATTAGGTAAACAAATAAACAGAAACGCTTTGCGAAAGTACATCATTTAGTTAGTTTAGGAAGCTGCGACAAGGCCAGAATAATAAAAATCTCAACTATAAAATGAGGTGGGCATAGTGAAACTATCGTAGTACAGTTGCATAGTAAGGTTGTCAGCTGTGATGATGATGATAATGATAATGATAATGATTATGAATTGCTATAAAAATATTTAAACTACAAATCATCAAAATTCTATTTAAATAAAGAAATAAATAATTATATATAATTAGTGAAAAAAGCATAAGAAAATAATAAAAAAATAATAAAAAAATTAATAAATAAAAAATTAATAAAATTGAATTTAAAAAATTAAACAATTAATTATTTAAAAAAATAAATGATAACTAAAAAAAATAAAACTAAAAAAATAATTAAAAGTAGAAATTAAAGAAATAAGAATTAAATAAAAAAATAATAAATTAATTAAATATTTCAAAAAGTAATAAGTTTATGAAGTCCTTAATTAAATAAAATGAATAAAAAATATAAAAAAATGAATTAAAAACAAAATAAAAACAAAATAAATATAGTAAATACAACAAGTACTTAATCAAATTTTAAAAATTAAATGAGTAAAATATATATATATATATATATATATATATATATGAGAAAGTTCGTATTTTAACAGATCAAAAATATGGTGGTTCTCAAGGCACTTTTCAGACAGCTTATTTATTTTATATTTATATTTTATTAAATATTTATTTATATATATATGTAGACATATATATTCTAATATAAATATTAGAGCCAATAAATTGAAATAGCGCAGATACGATCAGAAGCCTAAGAAATCAACAGAATATAGAATATATAGCTGATCTATATATATATATAAATATATATATATAGCATATATATATATATATATATATATATATATATATATATATATATATATATATAGCAAATCTATTCAAAACTGTTTTCACACAGCTATTAAATTATTTTTATTTGTTAAGTTATTTTATTTATATAGATTTTGTTGGTGTTAAGTTTTTGTTTTACAAAAACTTTCCAGTGACATTTTTTTGTGGTTTTGTTTGTTTTTTTTTTTATTATTATTATATTTTTTCCATTTGTTGTCGCTTGTAAAGCGCTGTTATGCCATTTATTTATAGCAATGCCAGCAACAATTTAAGACGCAATAATCGTAGAATCGTGGAATCGTGGAATCGTAGAATCGTAGAATCGTCGAATCGTCTGATTAGCGTTCCGATCTCTCAGATTTTGATACTAGCCAAAGCTCTGGCTGGCGCCACTTGCTGCGGTTCCACTGCCCCAGTAGTGTCTCCTCCCTGCCTGCCGCCGTCACGCCCTTCGTTCCACCCACTCAGTTTGGCGTTCATATCTGGCATAAATACCGCTTAAACGCCGTGAACTGATAGCCAAGTCAACAATCAATTTGATTTCATTTGCTTCGCTCTGGCATTACATAAGTTTCGTTCGTTTTATGTTTGTCATTGATTAGCACTTGGATCAGAGCTCTACTTCGTCTCAAATCTAAAACTTTATGTATATATATATATATATATATATATTATAGACTATTAGAAAAGCGTTTAAAATGTCATTTGTCAATAGCAAAACATTTATGGCGTCAGCCAATGCAGCATTGCCTGATAAGCGAACTAGAACTAGTTCTAACCGAACTGCGTGCTGGTGGCGCTCTTCCTTATGAAATCAAGCAAAATATTTATGAATAGTTTCCTAAATAGCGAGGCGTTTGCCGGCTGATTGAAGCGTTGCATTACCAATATTAGCTCTGCTTGAACATTGCCAGACTGCTGAGTTTTGCCATAAGTTGATGCTGTGAATAAATTCTAACTCAGCTGTTTCTAGTTGAGAATCGTTTATAGGCTACAAACTGATACTCTGCAAATTTCTATATCAATTGTTAACCAATAACACCTAGGCAAAGGTTGCCAGATGGCTAGAGGCTGGCCTATTCTTATGCAATCCGGCATTATATCATTGGGTAATAGAATATATTTCTTATTATCATATCTGACATTCCACATCATGGACAAGCTGACGACTTATAGTTAAGGTGTTAAATATAACGAGATAATTATCTGTTCAGCACAACGAGGGCTGCTCTTCCGTAATTCGCAGCAGGCAGCAGTTCCTCTACGTGAATAATGGAGGCCTTCTCAGCTTACGATATTTAATAAAATTTCTGTTGAAAATATTTGAGCTTTAGTTGCGAGCTATTAACTTATTGCGGTATGGCCAAGAAATTGTTGCAGCTGCTGCACAGCTCACAGCACAATTCACGCCTCGCTGCATCGCTTTAAGGTTAATGCGATGGGGAGAGGAGTGCGACAAGGGGGCCGGGGCATGTGGGGGGAGGCAGCTACGTAATCCGAAGAAGGCGCAAAAAACTTGAACTCAATTCGTTGCCTTTTTAAGTGGCAGCGCGCAGACAAATGTTAAGTGTGGAATGCGAAGAGTGGAGCGGTTAACGGTGTGGCATAGACACACACACAAACACACACATGCTGGGGCGGCAGCACAATGAAGGCGCGCTGAGTCTTCGCATTATTAACCTATTAAATGCTCTGACACAGAAATCTTGCGCTATTAAGAAGAAGAAAAGAAGGCGCACATAAATTCTTTTGATTGTGGCGGCCCGTCAACACGCTTCATTCCTTTGATGCCGGCAAACAGCTAGCCCCTCCCCAGCCGCTGCTCGCCACCTGCTCACCTTCTTCCATTTGAGATACTCACGTCTCCGACTTCAATGGCCAAGGCTAGCACAGATAGTTGCTGAATGTATCTCTAGCCATCTCGAGTTTCCAGATGTGCCAATGCAACAGTCTCTTAAGCATGAGATACTTAACTTCAACTAGTATCTATATAGCTTAGCTATGTATCTTCTATTTGTATCTATAAGCATATGTATCTATCTCTTTATCAATAACTTTATTTGTATCTACAAATAACTGGATCTGCATCCACATTTCCATCAGTATCTGTATCTGCATAAACTACATTTAACCATAATAATTTATCAGCCGCTTGAAAGCTACTTTCATTATCTTGAACCTATGCTTATCTACCCGAATGCACTTTGCTGCTTATCTCCCGCAGTTTTGATTGCAGCAATTTATCAGATCAGTGCCATTAGCTATAGATAAACAGCAAACAGCGAACTTTATCTATATAAAGATAAAGGCTACAGCTACAAGATTGCGTGCTTCAACTCATAAACATGTAACAGCAATATCCATTTACATACATATATATATATTTTCACATGTTTGCATATATATATATATAATATATATATAGTTATCATATTTTTCCAACTCTCACTTATGCAAAACGGCTATATAAAAACACGACATCTTCGCTGTCGTCTTATGGTGTCTTGACCTCAATGGCCATTTTGCATGCTTAGTTTCGCATACCCTGCAATTTTATACAGCCAACGAGCTGTTTGTGCTCCATGAATAGACTCGAAAGATGAAAGCAGCGAACATGAAATGCGTTCGGTGTTGCAGGGTAGCTGCACAGTCGAGCAGCTCTTTGCTCGTTTCATCATGCGTGCTATAAAAAAATGCATATTAGTTAAAAATGTAAAACGCGCCTAAATATTGCCCAAGTGCGACTTGTCGTCACGTACGTAACTCGCAGGTCAACAACAACAGCAACTGAAATGTTGGCAACAACTTAGCCATAAAATCGACTAACAAACACGAAGTGTTCTCGCATAAACAAACATGTTCATAATAAGTTGCGGTGTGTGCGTGTGTGTGTTGACTCGAGTTGAGCTTATTTGGCCTGGTCTTCTGTTGGCCTAGGGACAGGAAACGGCGCGCCATTTGGCAACGCGAACTCGGCTCGAAGGCCGCAGCCAGCTGCGTTTGGCTATGCCTGGGAATTATCAGCGGCCGCTGTGGATTCTCATATAGCGCGAGGCAGGCTAAATTTCATCGTTCACACAAAATGTGGGTCACGTTATCTTGAACAACGAAAAAAAGCCGCATCCAATGCAAGTCAGCTTACAGCTTTCCATGTGCAGCGTGCAACGTGCACCTCGTGCAGTGGCAAAGAGGCATACCAGCCAGAGCTGGCTTTAAGTTTTCTATATGTACACATATAGAGAGCATTTTATATATAGTATTATTTATATTGAATTTGTACTTTATTTTGGGGGATAGCCGCCGCTCACTGCTGTCAGCTGATTAGGTGCTTGGTAACGCGTAGGCCACTTGACAACCAGCTAGACAGTCGAATTGAAATGCTATTGGCAACATCTTATCGCCTCGGCAACCGGCACATGTGTCCAGTTGCTCACTAAATAAAAGAAGTACCCACCTGAGAGCACTGCGGAAAATTATTCAGATACGTTTACACAGCATTGATAATAATCTAACCCAAGAGAGAACCATAAATTATGTACGAAAGCTTCTACTTCACAATTTGTCAATTCCCAGCTTGGACTGTACAATTATATAATCGAAGGTGGACTGCGCACAGTAGTTGTTAATTATACTACGTTATATCATTGTCAATATCAGGGAAATCTATTGTATTCGATTTTTTTGGCATATAATTTGCCTTGATTGAACGAATGCTTTGTAAACCGACAACTAATGACAAACTATATACTACATATACTACATATGCTACATATACTTCATATACTACATATACTACATACACTTCATATATTATATATATTATATATACTACATATACTATATATACTATATATACTATATATACTATATATACTATATATACTATATATACTATATATACTATATATACTACATATGCTACATATACTGCATATACTGCATATACTATATATACTATATATACTATATATACTGTATATACTGTATACACTATATGCTATATATACCATATACTATATATTCTATATATACTATATATACTATATATACTATATATACTACATATACTATATATACTATATATACTGCATATACTACATATGCTACATATACTGCATATACTATATATACTATATATACTGTATACACTATATGCTATATATACCATATACTATATATTCTATATATACTACATATACTATATATACTATATATACTATATATACTATATATACTATATATACTGCATATACTACATATACTACATATGTATACCACATATACTACATATAATGTAATCTTATCAGGAACTTATTAATATTTTATAGCTATTATTACTATTGTTATTATCAATAGTATTAATATTGTTATTATTAATATTCCTGTTTTTTATGTTTGTCACCAAGCTATGTAAACAGAAATAAAATAAGTGAATTGTAAGCTCATTTAAATGACTTTGGGCCCGTGTCGCAGCGTCGCTTCATCTAGAATGACATTAATCAGATCTTTGAGAACAAGGCAAATCTTCGCTAGCTTAATAGCTTGTCAAACGTCTGGCGGACCTTCAACCAATGACATTCAGCGTATCACATTCATTAATCTCCACTTAAGATTCGCATCGCGCTTAGCTAGTGAGTGATCTATAGCATTCTCTCCATATCTCCGATTACAATTTCCCATTTTGTTGTATAACAATATTTGTTTTTGTTATTCAAGACTTAAAACTCTTTTTCTAATTGAATTCCTCTTCTCATCAGTCTTATTCATCAATTTTCCTCCGGTTTTTACTTTATGTAATTATTATTGAAATTAATTTAAAACGTTTGACATTAAACTTGGAAAAAACTGGTTGATAAATTTAATTGATAAAGTGGTTCAAGCATGTCTATGGTCAGAATCTATGGGTAATTCGGTTTAGCCTTGTTCGTATCTAACCTTGTGCCTCTCTCTCTCTCTCTCTCTTCATTTTTTGATATTTAGTTTCATCCAAAGTCTACCTGACACCGGGTTCGCCGGGTATCTTCAAGTCGAGCACTGCCGCCTAGCACGTTCTTTTCTGGTGCCATGAAAGGGACAGCTGTTTCTTTCCATTATGTTCTTCTCTCTCACTCTCACTCTCTCTCTCTCTCTCCCTATCTCCCTCTCTTATTCAGTCATCAGCGAATACGTTTGAAACGCACCTCGCATAATTATGTTATGTTTACGTTTTAATCGCATATCTACACTTGTTATGCGCGCACATGAATATTTATATGATTTTCAAGGTTGTTGAAGATTTTGAAGCGTGTGCTTCTGTGTGTGTGTGTGTGTGTGCGATAAAGCGCGTGTGTGCATGTGCGTGTGTACGGGAAGTTCGTTTATCTAATCGCTGGGCCAAACAGTTCTCAATGCGTGTTAAAGTACGTGTTGCACATATGTAAACAATAATTGGTAACTCTCAGCTACTGTTGCTGCTTGGCAACGCTGCGTATGCGTGATTTATGAGTTGGTGCGGAGAAATTTGCTTGACATGCAAAGCCAGCGATTGGCTCGGCTTATTGGCCAATTGGCCAGTCGAGTCACGCGCCCAGCCAGCCAACTATGATGCTAAATAGAGCTCCACATAAGATACGATGTACATATAGAGTACATATGGACATCCGATATGTCCTTCGGCCGTACGCAGAGTCAACAAACTTGCGGTCGCAGCTGTGTGTGCGATATGATGTGATATGATGTGTAGCTGACTATAATAGATATGTAATTATATATATATATATAGATATATATGTAATTATGGCCAGCTTAGAGTGAAGTTGTTTCGTTTGAGGAAATGCGTTCGCTGCTCAATTTATCAGGCATCAAATTGTCGTGGGAAGAAATTGCTAGCGAAAACTTAACAAATTGGCTGTGCAAATAGGAAGCAACAATTGCCATGCATAAATAGATAACAAATTGCTGCTGTTGTTTTTGTTGAATCTGTTAAGCAGCAAAACTTGTCGCACTTAGATAAGAAACAGCTGGCCTCTAACTAGAAACGCGCCGGCATTTAGCTTAGATTGACGCTTAGCCACGTGTCGCTAACAATAACAATAACAACACGTTGTTGTTCGAGCTGAGCACAGCCACCCCAACCCCACCGCCCTGCCGCCCTGCCTCCCTCACTCCCTTCCAGCGCTTGACAACAACGAGCGAGCACGCCCTTTTTCAGCTTGAATGAACTGCGCCAAATGCGGAAGTCGTTTTTGGGCTCATTTTAATTATGTTGATCATGAGTAATAGCTCAACAACATCGTCTTGTCTGTGTAAGAGCAGCAGGCGGCCACGCCCCTCTGCTGTTTGTTTGCTCTATGAGGCCAAAGCTAACATCTGCCCCTCCCTTCCGCTGTCGCTCGCTGCCTCTAAGCATTGCGTATTGCTTAAGTCACATCAGGCTAGCTATGAACAGCGCTTAGCTACGCTATAAAAAATGATGTTATCATTGGTCTAATGCTTCACATTACAGGGTATTCGTGGTTGAGCGCAATGTTGTCTTTCTTTTTTTTTTTGGCAATGAAGTCACAAAAATAAAAGCACGTGGCGCGAGCAACGATTGCTGCCGGCTGATAAGCCCAATTCACAAGCAAACGCACACACACGCATGCTTACGCACACACAGACACATGCACACACGCACACACACATTTGTTATCAGCTCAGCAATTAGCAAACGTAAATTGACGTCAAGCAAATTTACTATACCTGACAAAAAGACGAAATATTTATATATAGCTGTGGGTATTCACATGCGAAATTTGTGCACAGATTGTCAGTGGGGCTGCCGGCTGGGAGCTGTGGGCTGTGGGCTGTGGGCTGTGGGCTGGGGGACTTAACTAGTTGGTAACTCATAGACGAACTAGTTCACGAGCGTAACAGAGCGCATAAAATGGAAATCAGTTTAGTTTTTAATGTGTCTTAATTTATGGAATATGCTTGCTAACACGCTCGAGAAGTATGTTCGCTGAGCAGCTGAGGCGAACTAGTTCATAATTATCGTCTTATGAGCGTAATTACTCACTGCGAACTTACTCATTGGATCAAAAGCTATTTAAACGTAAATTCGTAACGTATATTGCAGGGGGTTCAATGAACGAACGAAAACAAAGAACTAGAACTAGTATTTAAGTAAACTCTATATTTATCGATTAACTACTCAGCAGAGCTTAAAGAATTAGAACTAGTTCCAAAGTGAACTGGCTTTGATAATGATATTAACCACATTAAAAAAACGGTGCACTATACTAGAACTAGTTCACAAAATAACTAGTTCATATGAGCCGGCTAAAGAAAGAAAACAGCGCCTATTGAAAAAAGAACTAGAACTAGTTCACAAATGAACTACATTTTATGATGAACATTGGTTACACTAGTTCATATGAGCCGGCTAAAGAAAGAAAACTGCGCTTTACGAAAAAGAACTAGAACTAGTTCACATATAAACTACATTTAGTGCTTACATTAGTTGCATAATATAGCTAGTTTATGGTAGCTAGAATAAAGCTAAAGAAATAAAACAGCGCTTCACGAACAAAGAACTAGAACTAGTTCACAAATGAACTACTTTTAATGACAACATATGGAACTACTTAATGAGTTAGCTAAACCGTTTAGTGAAAAGAATGCTGCACAAACAAAGAACTAGAGCTAGTTCACCAATGAACTACTAGTTCAAATGAGAAGCAACATTTGTATTTTAGGTAGTGACGATAAAGCTATTAGTTCTGGAATCCGTTGACAATTTGATCTTGTAAGCAAATGAACCAGCTCAAACATGAGTTTCACCTGCGATAATAGCAACAGTTGCTAGTACGATAATTGCCAGCGAACGTATAATGCTGAATACTGAAAAAATACTAAATAAATACTGTTTTGTATTGGTCTTTGCAGAGAAATACCTGGGCCAGCATAATCCCGGACACCGGAACAGCACCAGCAGCGAGGCAACCAGCGAGGACATTAACTCTAGCGACGAGCACCTGAACAAGCCCAAATGCCGAGTTGGCAACAATAATAGCGGCAACAGTGGCAATATCGGTAGCAGCAATACCGCTAGCTGCAACAGCAAGTCACGCTCGAAGCGGAAGGCGCAGGCCATGAAGCAGGCTCTGGCCAGGCAAACAGTGCAGGGCCAGCAGCAGGCGCAGGCGCAGGCGCAGGCACAGATGCAGACGCAGACGCAGACGCAGGTGCAGGTGCAAGTGCCACTGGAGCAGCAGCCCAACAAAAGCAACGGCAAGTGCAAGCAGGGCAAGTGGCGCAACAACAACAATAACAACGGCAACAACAACAGCAATGGCAACGGCAACGGCAACGGCAACAACTGCATTTCGAAACGTGGCAAAGCGAAGCACAACAAATGCAACAATAATAACAACAGCAGCAGCAGCAAGTTGCACAATAACAACAGCAGTAACAGCAGCAACAGCTGCAGCAACAGCAGCAGCAGCAGCAACAGCAGCATCAGCAATCACAGCGACAACATTAAGTGCCCCAGCAACAGCTCAAACTCCTCGTCGGCGGTCAGCTCGCCGGGCAGCTCGCCGATTGGCAGCAGCTGCAGCAGCATACGCAGCAGCAGCGGCAACAACGGCGGCAAGAATGGCAGCAGCAAGCATGGCGGCAAGTCGGTGCCCAGCTGGCAGCGCGAGGAGCGCCAGCTGCACAAGGCACAGCGACAGAACATGAACTTTCTGGTGCCGCCGCTGCGGCAATACGAGCGACTGGACATTGACGATGAAGCGCTGATGCGCCAGCTGCGCCGCTATCTGATCGATCACAATCTGCTGCGCGTCTATGGGTTTCCGGTGGCCAGCGTTGTACACGAGGGCGCCATTGAGATCTTCAAGTGCCTGCCGCACATGAGCTTTGCGGCCGCGCATGTCATGGCCGTGGCCGAGACGGCATTGACGGTCATCAATTGCCACGACGGCCTAAACACGAGCAATTTCGAATACAACAGCCAGGAGGCTGGCCACGACATCATCGGCGATGGCGCTGGCATCATCAGCAGCAACAGCAGCAACAGCAGCAGCAGCAGCAGCAGCACAAGCGGCGCCAGCAACAACGGCAGCACCAGCGACAGCCCAACAGCAACATCAACTGACTCCGGCAATATATCGCCGCGCTCTCTCGACCTGGAGTCGGGCGGCGAATGGAGCGGCAGCGAGTGCGAGTCGGCGCCAAGCGCTGAGAGCGGCTATGGGCTGGAGCTATACTGCAACTATACCATGGTCGAGCGCACTCTGGCCAAGCAGTGTGTGCGCTGCAAGCGCGAGTTTCTGGTCGACGATCTGAGCGGACAGTATTTGACGCGCGAGGAGTGCACCTACCATTGGGGCAAGTACCATCGCTGCTACGACGGCAACGTCTGGGTGAGTCGCTGGACCTGCTGCAATGGCGCCGAGGAAACGGATGCTGGCTGCACGCATCACGATCTGCACGTGTGGACCGGGTCGGTGGTGGGCGTGAATGGGCCATATCATGATTTTGTCTATACGCGACCGCGCAGCCCACACTCAGCCCGCAGCCGTGAGCCGCCCGCTGTCTATGCGCTGGACTGCGAGATGAGCTATACGGGTCGCGGCCTCGACGTTACCAAAGTCTCATTGGTGGCCCTCAACGGCCAGTTGGTGTATGAGCACTATGTACGACCCGATGCCGATATTGTTGATTACAATACGCGCTTCTCGGGCGTCACCGCCAAGGATCTCAAAGCGAACGGCTGCAAGACGCTGGCCGAGGTGCAGCGCGATTTGCTGGAGCTCATCGACGCCGATACCATACTGATCGGTCACGGCCTGGACAATGATCTGCGCGCCCTGCGCCTGGTCCATCATACGCTGATCGACACATCTATTGCGTTCCCGCACACCAGCGGCTTTCCCTATCGTCGCGCACTGCGCCATCTGACCAAAACGCATCTGAATCGCGAGATTCAGAGCGGCGATGGCGCCACCGGACACAGCAGTTTCGAGGACTCACGCGCCTGCATGGAGCTAATGCTGTGGCGTGTGCGGCGCGAACTGGCCGCCGGCACCAGCTGGGAGGATTAGTTTTTAAAGTCCCACAACGACAGCAAAACGTCCATGTTCTGGCCGCGGGGCGGGTCACATTCGTTGTTTCGTATCGTATCAGATCTATGGGCGGGGCAACCCAAGTACTTTTAGTCTGTAAGACGTTGCTAGTTATAGTTCATTTTTGGGGCGATCAGCGATCAGCTGTGATCGATGATCGATGATCGATGATCGATGATCGCTTCTTGTATTTAATCTCAGTCTATGTTTGCTTTGTCCACCTAGCCTTCACTCTCTAACCAATCACACAACCAACCAAACCACCCACCCACCCATCCTTCATCCTTCATTCTCCAGCCTTTCTCTGTCTGTCCCGAAATTATTGCCTTCTCCGTAAACCCTTCACTGTGCCCCTTTCCTCCAGCTCCACAAATCTTTTTGCTTTCTAATTTTTCTTTTCCTTAAGCCCCGCCTGCCCCTCCCCCACCATCCCCATTCCTGTTTCATCGACCAACTCATGAGCCATGGCGTTCCAATCTGGCGAAGCGGCTGGGTAGCGCACTGCGAACTGAGAAAGAAACCCAACACGAAAACCAACACAAATAAAACAACAACAAAAGCTAACAAGAAAATCAACAAAAAACAAAACAAAACAAAACAAAACAAAGCAAAAAGAGAAACATAAACGAAAAGAAAAGAAAACAAAGCAAAACAAACAAATCTGACAAAATGTCGTCTATATAGAGCGATGCCTATTTTTAGTTATACGATATATATGAATACATACATAGATAGGCGCATATATATACATATATATATATATGTATAAATATAAATATATATATATTTATTAATATATATATAAATATATAAATATATATATATATATATATATATATATATATATATATATATATATATATATATATATATATATATAAATATGTATGTATATGTATATAAATATATCTATGCACGCACACACGCACATACACACAGCCACACAGATACATATATATACATATATATATATGCATATATATCTCTGTGTATATATGTATATATCTATATATACGCACAACTATAAATTGTAAGCATATATATATTTATAAAGAAACTATGTATATATATACACACATTTTGTTGTTTGTTTTTCGTTTTTATTTTTCTGTCGTTCTTCTAACAATTCTCGATTTTCGATTTTTCTTCTATTTTTTTTTTTTTTTTTATAAATAATAATAATAGTAATATATAATATTGTTTTCGAAGTAACCACAAGAAAAATGTACTGAAGTTTTAGCTGTGATGTTTTTTTCACTTTCTCACATTTACAAAAACAAAAACAAAAATAAAAATAAAAATAAAAAAAAACAAAAACAACAACAACAAATGCATAGGAAAATAAACAATTATTAAACAAAATATAATATATATAAAACATTAAGCAAAAACAATTCGAAAAAAATTCACTTTTTTTTTTAATTTTTTTGTTGGCCCAAAGCATCTCATAAAGAAAACTAAAAGTCAAAGTCAAAGTAAAAAGAGCAAAAGTTACAAAAAAAAAAAAAAAATTTACTTTTTTATACATTTAACATATATAAGTTACACTCTGCTACGGAGTAATTGTTTTTTTTTTTTTAGCATATTTCTATTTATTTTGATTGAAATTCATGCCAATTTATATATAGAACATACACATACGTATATACATATATATATAAATATGCAAAGTTCATTAAAAATTTCTTCAAGTGTATAATTTTTACATAGAACAACAATGCATTCAACAACAACTACACAACAACAACAGCATCAAACTACAACTACTACAAGAACAGTAATATTAATTAGTCTAAACATTTAAAGATTTAAGAAATTCTAATTATATTATCAATATTGTAATAGATATATATATACACACATACACATATATATATCTATATATATATATATATATGTATATATATATATATATATATATTTATCTATATATAAATATACTTTTTTTTTGTAGTAGTTCGTAGATTTTTACTACTATTTGTAATGATTGTTTCCAAGACAAAACGCTGCGAACACTATATATATATATATATATATATTATTACATACATATATACTATTATGATGCTCCAACAACAACAATGTAGAATTGATGTTCCTAGCAGCAGCCAACCGAGATGAGAGCAGCGGAAGCGAATGTATTTTTATATTGAAAATCAAAATGTGAAAATCAAAATGCGAAATGCAATTCTCGATTGACAAACACAAAAAAGAGTAATCAAAGCAAAAAAAAAAAAACGAAAAAGTCTAAAAAAATTAAAATCAAATGAAATCGATGCAGAAAATAAATGAAACATTAACTTGTTTTCAAACGATATAACATTTACAGAAAAAACCAACATTTCTCTTTTCATTTCATGGGCTTTGGTGGGGTTAAATGAACTAGATAAAGATATAGATATAGATATATAGATATATAGATATATAGATATGTAGATATATAGATATATAGATATATAGATATATAGATATATAGATATATAGATATATAGATATATAGATATATAGATATATAGATATATAGATATAGACATAGATAGATAGATATAGACATAGATATAGATATAGATATAGATATATGAGTATTACTTAGACGGGCCGCAAATTCGCATTACACTTTGAACAGAGCGCACGTCTAGAGCTGAGGCTGAATTCTATCATAAAAGGAAGCTCTATAGCTGCCTTGGAATGATTATGGGTATTTCTATAAAACCAGAATTTGCTTACAGTCTGAATTAAGGTTTGAGTTACTTTTCTTTTCTTCACTTAAGCTGGGCGTTAATCTAATACAATTGACTTAAGCTCGTCTGAGGTAGCAGCCCGACCTTTGAACCCGAATAGCTAACTATTTATAGAGCACGCTGGCATCTCAGCGGAGATAATAGAGAATCGCGTATTTCTCACAGCCGCCAACGTAAGCTTAATAATAATAATCTATTTCAATTATTTTTGATTAACAGCTGTTACATGGCCATGCGCGTGTCACCTTCATAGCCATCCGTAGTGCCCATGCCACCTATCTGGGCCATACGACACGGCTTTTGAGGTCAATGCAAGATGAAAGTACACCAAATGCCAGCCAGTCTTAGAAGTCATAATAATAATAATATTAATAATAACAGCAACCAGCTGTAGACCTATGTTGTGACTGGCTGTCTGACTCTGCTTTACATGTGACTGCCACTGCCACTGCCACTGCCACTGTGTGCTCAGCTGAGCGGGCGCAGGTGCGGGTGCGTGCCAACAAATATTTGCTTAACGAAGTAACCAGAAAGTGCTAAAGCGTTTGCAATCCATCGCAAAAAACCAAGAGAAAGATCTGCATATGTATAACCAGGCAGAAGAACCTATCGCAGCAGCATAGTGACAAAATGGCAAGGGTGCTTTTGGCGGCAGTGCCCGACTAGCTGATACCCTGACTACTGCGCAGTGTCGCTGCTATAATCATTCTAGACTTATTTTATAGCAAACATAAAACATATACACACACACACACACACACACGCTTAAGCACGCGCTCTGCTTACTGCGCAGTTGACACAGCTCATGGGCTTTACAATATTAAGTTAAGTATTGAATAACTTATGTTCTAGACTTTTAGACTTTTCGACTTTTCGACATTTTTACATCAAATTTTCAGAGCGTGATACATCAAGTTGCGCGTTTTGACAAGTCGTCAGTATTTGCTAATTGGAGAGTTAGTGCCCTTCCCACTATTATTAGGGGATATTAGGGGGTTAGTTAAATTTCGAAATATACAAAATCTGTGTAAAGCCCCCACAGTAATACGCCTAAAACACACCTACAATTTCAAGCCTCCAGATTTGGTAGTGGGAATAATCGTTGCGGTCAGACGAAAGGCGGACAAGCGAATGAACGTACAGGCGGAGGAGCATGGCTAGGTCAGCTCAGCCCATGATTATATATACTTTATGGTGCCTGCCACGCCTGCCACGTCTGCCTTCTGCCTGTTACATACATGAGTTCCACATTATGCAATTGTGCTGTTAAAGTCTTCTCATTGTGCCTGAAAAATCAATCGATATTTATCGATAATAACCAAATGAGTGTAGATATCGATTCAATGTGTATATATCAAATTTCAAGAGGCAGAGGCCAGGCGGGCAGCTTGAGTACTCCACAGTCTCTGGCATGAAATGAGTTCAAGGTATAAATTGAGTGAACTCGATTTTCAGCTGCTGGCAGTACGCATTTGCCGTGTGCTCTGCAGTGCAATTTGGCTCAGTGTCTGTGTGTGTGTGTGTGTGCGTGTGTATTGCAGTGAAAGTAGAAAGTGTTTCTCCAGATGACGAAATACCAAATTGTTTGCAGATGACTTCTGCAGCTGCTGCTGGCAGGCAGCAGTCGCTGGCTGTGCCACTTGGGGCAAGTTCGCAACATTGCCAACTGGCAATGCAACTTGACAAACTTTTGCCGAATATCAACTTTTGTATATGTATGTGTGTGTATTTTTTTATTTAATTTAATTTTACTCAATTTTTATTTGCTTTTTTCTTATTTTTTTCGTTGGTGTTAGAAACGTGCAGCTCGCTCTAAACCCCATATAAAGACGGAAGCCGGCGACGCTGGGGTGCCAGGCGGGGGGAGCCGTGCTATCATTTGACGTATGAAGGCGATCGACTAAATATAAATTGAATGTTCGTGTTTGGCACATTTGCGCTAAAAATCGCATCGATTGTTTTAAATTGTCGAATAGACATTGTCGAGATGTATTTAGACAACTAGCGATATATACTGAAAACGTATACAACATTGTATGTGCACGTATGCATGTGTGTGTGTGCATATAGCATGATCTGCACCCTCGCCCTAATGCTCTATATACACGCGAGCGGACGAACAAATCATGTAAATAAATAAGCGATGATAAACAGTATTCATATGGATATATATACCTAATATAGCTGTGTGTGTGGGTGTGTGAGTTTCTTATGCAATTGAAATTTCGAAAAGAGACAGCAAAATTGGCAGATAACGGATGCTTTATCAGCCCGATAAAAGACGGTCAATAGTGCGCCTGCATGTGCGAGCGACCTTGCTCAAGGGAGTTAAGCGCTTTAGTCTAACTAACTAACTAACTGCAAGGCAAGTGTGTTTAAATAGATAGCTGAATGTATGAAATTTATTATCTAATTACGTATCTACTTTTATCTACATTACACATATGTGTATGGCACGTTAAGCAAATTCAAACGGCGAAAAACCAATATTTCGCACACTTATCGGCTTATCGATAGTAGATTGCAATGTCTGATAACAGCGTTATCTGTCAGTGTTGAGTAACGAGTGCAGTTGCAGTAGTGCTAAGTGCTAAGGCGCGCACTTTCAAATGCCTTGAAGCAGCAAACTTGTCTTAGCTGAGACAATAAATATTTATAAGCAAATTTAACGATTACTTGAGACGGATTTTAATGAAAGATATGACTAAAACGAAACGCATGATTCATGCAAGTTTGTCTGTATTGAAAATGCGTGTAAAAATTCAATAAATTTTCGATTTAACCAAATATGGATAAGACGAGTTCGGCGTGAATCATACGTGCGAGCACTTTTTTTCT